ATTTATTGTATTACAGAAAATAATATTAACATGAAAAATTTTTCAAAACAGATCACTTTTTTATTTTATTTTTTTACGTTGAATTTATTTAATTTTCTATTGCAAATTTTTGAGAAAAAAAGGACGAAAAAATCTATTATTAATTATTAGTGATTGTTACAAAAAAAAAGAAAAGAAAAAAAAGATGAGATATGAAAAAAAAAGACTTTGATCAAATTTATATTTTATAACTTAAAATTTTGGGTTATGTGTGAGAGAAAATAAATAACCATTAAAACAATTTTTTTCTGTTTATTTATTTATTATTTCTTTTAAATTTATTTTTTTTTTTTTGTTATCCCTTATTATATTTTTTAACTTCATTTTTTTTGTTTTTTGTCTTTTTAAAAATTTTTTCTCTATATTTCTCTCATTTTTTTCATCGTATTTCGTTTGAGAAATGACTGAAACAAAATTATGACACATTTTCCAGTTAAATTAATGAGGTAACAAATTATGGAATATTTTGATAGTTCAAATTTATCATATCTAACAAATGATAAAATTTAAAACTAAAAGCGAAAAAAAAAACTTACGTTGAAATAAGAAAGTTATAGAGTCAATTAATTAGCTACCTTAGCTTTTCCTAGGCTTATTCTCCTCAATAACATGAATAAATTGAATAGCTGCTTTTAGATAATTCAATCATAGTAATTTATTTTATGCATACCTGTTTTCCTTTTTTCTCTCTTTAATAGCTTTAAAATCATTTATAATAATTTTAATGTCAGAAAAACTCTTTCTCTTTTCTTTTTTCTTTTCACAACTTAAAGTTTTAAACTGATAAATCAATCAAAAATTGATATGCAAAAGAAAATGTCAATCCATTAAATACTTTCTTTTTTTATCCTTCATCTAATTTTCTCTTAACCATTGTGCTTAATTCTTTACTTAAACATTTTTCAGTTTGCTTTTTCGTTTTTTCTTTTTCTTTTTTTTTTCCACATGAATACCTCATTTTTCATATCATCATTTTTATTGTCATTTTAGAGATATTGAATGACAATGCTCAAATACTGATTGACACCTGATTTCTTTAAGATGTCAAGCTATGAAAAAAAAATATATATATGGCTGTTTCCAGCAAATGAACAAAGGAAAAAAATTTTTCACTTAGTTTTTTTAGTTCAATTCATAAACCAAATATTGCATTTTTTGGTATATTTTTAGAGAAGCAAAAATAAGAGGATAAAATAAATGTTTATCGTTAATTTAATTCTTGTTTATTACTTGCTTATTTCTTTTTTTATTAATATGTCTAATGATCATTTGTTAAACATTTAAATGATAAATAAGCAAAATGATACAAAGAAATTAACAGATTAATATAATTACAGGAATTCATAATTTTAAAACACATTGATTCCTCGTTTTTTTTTTTTTTTTTCTTGAAAAGAAGAATTAATTAGAAAATTTGTCTACAGTATTCAACATTTTCAAATTATCATAGCCAATTAATTCGATCAATTCAATGGCAAATAATTTAGTATGTTAAAGAAAAAAAAATGAAAAAAAAGACGATTAAAGAATTACGGTGTTTTCAAGCATTTTGAAATAATTTTTGGTCAGCTGTCAGGTAATCTAAAATGACAGCTGCGTCTACCTCTTCAAGTAAAGATACAAACAAACTAAAAGGTAAAAATGAAAATAAAAAAAAAAAAGAATTATTCTTAGTTAATTTGGCAAAAAGAGGAAATCAGTTACTTTTTTTGTTCATTTATTTACAATTCAAAAAAAAAAAAAAAAAACAATTTAAAAAAAGAAACCACACAATCATTAAACAAATAAGAAATTTACATATAATTATCAGATAACCAAGTTGATCTATCTTGCAATATAGCTTTATGTAATTATTTATCAACAATGAATATGTATGCATGCAGAAAAATTAAAATTGCAAGAAATAAGTCATCAATTCAATCAAAAAGTAAAAAGACTATAAAATGGAAAAGAATGAATGCACAAAATTACTTGCGAAAATTTCAAATTTTATTGTGTGCAAAATAAATAGTTAGCACGATTGAATGGAAAATGTTAGATTTATTAATTTTGTAGGTCGATATTCTCAGCCCTTGGGAAATACATTTTATTTACTTTTAAATACAATTTTCCGGATTTTTTTCTTTTCTTTTTTTTTTTTTTGAGTGCAGCTTGAAAATGTTTGCTATGATTGCTTCGAAAAATTGCTTATTGATTGCAGAAGTATATTATTTATTATTGCTGGAAAATCCTCATTATTACTACTATTATTATTATTATTATTGAAATTGAGAAAATTGACAGGAAACAAATTAATGAACAATAATTACATTATTAGCAGCTTAAAATGATGATCAGTGATTTTATCTTTTTTGCGCTTTATTTTTGTTTCTCATTTTTTCTCAATGTTGCATTCCTTATCATCATTCTTACCTTTTTTATAATTGCTTATCATTCTTACCTGTTTGTTTCCTTCTTTTTTCTTCTGTTTTAAATATTATCGCACTATCATTATTATTAAAATAGTGAAAATTGTTGAATATCAAGCAAATTAATGACAATTAATAATAACATGCATATTTACACAAAATTAATATGCGAAATATTGGAATTATTGTATCAAATGATGATCATTCAATATTAATAGTTAAATTTGATCGCTTAAAAAAGTTTGAGACAGATAAAAATACCAAATGTTATAAATTCCAACCTTAAAAAAAAATTCCAACCTATACTATTATCTGAAAAGTTTATTTGGGTTATGGTGTTAAACTTGTTATTATGAATAAATTGCTTTTTTAAAACTATTTCTTAAAAAAAAAGACTAACTACTGCTTCCTTTTTTAAGCAAATTAAGGGAATTCCTCCATTCCATTGAAAAATTAGTGATTTATATTTTCAATTTATTGGAAGTATTCTTTAAATAAGAATTATAAATTCTTTGGATTTTTTCCTAAAAAAAGTTTATATTTGGTTTCTAAAATTTCAAGAAATCATTAATTAGAATATAATATTGGGTGAAATAAATTTCCATATGCTTTATATATTAAAATTCTGGGACATAAAAAGGAAAAAAAAGTGAAATAATAATTTCTGTTCAAGATGAAATCATAACATTGTTTAATTATTCAGCCAGCTTTAAAAGTTAAAGGTTATTTTAGCCATATTCGTTTACAGTGATGTCTAGCGTCTTTTAAAAATCTCAACCATCTAATCTTGTTTTAGAGGATTTCCAACCATTAAAATCTGAGTGAACAAATCAAAAAAAAAAAAAAAAATATCAAATCTAAAAAATGATTAAATTTATTTGTACTTTTTTTCGCAAAAGAGCATTTTCCAAGATGCATTTTTAAAAATTATAAAACAAATGAGCATTAAATTGATGAATTTATTTCTATTAATATTGAAATCTTTATTTCCAAATCAAATGATGAAAATAAATTCATATTTTAAATAATTTAGTGCAAGAATGTTATGATTAATAATAGCCTATTTATCGAACAATAGTTACACTTCATTCTTGATTGTACTACAAAACAAAAAGAAAGAAAATGAAAATGCTGTAGAAGCGATCTGATGTAAAAAGCCAATTTGACATCGTTGATGTTGCAAAATTTATTTTCTAGAAATTCACAAAAAAAAAAGGATTGAAAGGAAAAGGATACGGTGATGAATAAATTATTTGTCATCGAGTGCAGCAAAAGCTGTTATCCGGCAATATCCATTTAATTTTTTTTTTTCATTTTTTTCTTTTTTTTTTTAAAAAAAAAGAAAAGAAAAAAGAGAAAATTACATCACATCCGTCATTTAAATTTAGTAAACACGACTGAAAACCATTTTTATTTACCACAATTGGGTATCATCTAAAAATTACCCAAATTAATTATAAAATAGTTTTCCTTTTCTCTTTTTTTTCATCGAAAATCTAGCTAATTTTATGAAAATTGACTACTTAAATAATTCAAAACTGATAAAAAAAAAGCCTTATCATACTTTCAAGATTCTGTTTTAGGAATGATAATCCTATTGACCTACAAAAAAAAAAAAAAGATCTAAAATATTTCAGCAAATCTTTTCGATTTCCTATCTAATCGTTTTTTTTCTCTCTTTTTACTGCTAAAAATTCCCATTATTTTTCAATGGGAACTTCAAAGAAAAGAAAAAATATACACAGGTATAAGTAAGTTATTTATTAAATTTTGCAGACAACAAATGGAAAAAATAAAGGAAAAAAAAAAAGGAGAAAAAAAAAACATACATCTTCAAACGAAAATTGAATTAAACGAATTGAAATGAGAAGGAAAAAGATGACGAATAAGTAAGTATATGATGATGATTGAATAGAAGAAAAAGAAAAGTCCTAAAAGAAAGAAGAAAAAAAAAATTGCTATTTAAATTGATCAAATAATATCGTCATCATCTGTAAGTACTAATATCGTATTTTCAGTATTAAAGAAAAATTATGATAATAATATAAATTTTTTTTTTTGTTGTTATTACTATTATTATTACGTAATATATTAATCAAATAATGAAATAAAGCAGAGAAATTATTCCTATTCACTATTATTATTATTAATAAAAGCATTTATGTTGTAAAATATCACTCATCAATTAGCAAAAGGGTACAGAGAAATAATTCAAATTTAAATTTGAAAATAGCTTTTTAACATTTTCATTAACAAAAAAATTATTATTATGCATATTTCAAGATATTATAATAAATAATTGTAAAAAAAAAAAGTTGTAGTAAAAAATAAAGAAAAAGAACAAAAAGTGTAAACAAAGTAATCAAAATGAATGAAATAAATAAATATAAGAAAAGATGATTTATAAGAGAAAAAAGGAACGAATGAGAGAGAATAAATGAAAATTGAGTTTTAATCAAAAAAATTAAAAAAGAGAAATGTTTCATTGATCATTAAAAATTATAATAGAAGAAAAAAAAAAAAAAGAAGCAAATATAAAAGACAAAATTTCAATTAAATTCCCGCAAATGGACATGGCTCTTTTTCACCATGAATTTTAGTGCATTCATAAACTCTCTGTTGAATATTTGTATCCCATTGCTCTGTATCTGTTTCACAAAGATCGGCTAATGTACACGGTAACTTATCTAGATGATAAAATTGATAAAGTAAACCACGAGCCTAAAATTAATAAAAATTTATAACAATTATTTTTTTTTTCTTTTTTCATCTTACATAAAATATGCATATATAGATGAATAATATGTAGAAATTTTATCATTAAATTACATATTGCAAAAATAATTAGTTATAATAGCATGAAATAAATTATAATTTAATTTATGCTAATGTATAATTTAGAAAAAAAAAATGAAAAAAGAAAAAAGGAAAGAATGTTTTATGTGTGGAAATTTTTTTTTTCTCTTTTTTTTCTTTGTCTCAATTTCGACTTTTTTCAATTTTAAATTTCAATAAAAAGTAATTCATTCATTCATTTAAATTACAATGACTTTTAATAATTATTATTTAATGAGAAAATTATTAAATTAAATTTACAACAGAAATGAATATCTCATTTTATTTCAAAATTTTTCATCAAAAAAAAAGGGAAAAAAAGAAAGAAAATATTTTACTTTTTTTAAGATAATAGTACCATCTAAATGCATAGCAAGTGAACTGAAATATAATAAAATTTCATCATTTGGAAGACATTGCTCAATAACATCTTTTCCATATATGGAAATGATAGCAACTGCAATGAATAAATGAAAATATGATGTTCGATAATGAGACCAGCATGCTTCCCAAATATGCATCGTAATAGTTTCAGGAAATTCACGCTGCAAATAACTGAATTAGCTAGTTAATCAGTTAATTAATATATTATATTATCAATTAATTAGTAATAAATAAATAAAAAATTTATTAAAAAATATATAAATTAAACCTTATAACATAATAGTATCCATCGATGAACAAACATTAATTCCAATGCATCTGAACCTAAACTAGCAATATGCATAAAAAAATCTGGTACAAATAATTTCAATAATTCGCGTAAATAATTCTGCAAAATAAATTATATTATGAAAGAGAGAGGGAGAGGGAGAGAGGGGGAAAAAAAAGAGCACATCATAATTAATTATATTTGAAAATTATTATTTGCATTAATTAATTGTACGGTATATGTAATGTTGTGGATACTCTGCAAAGAATCGGCAAAAAATATTGAATTATCAAAAAAAAAAAAAAAAAAAAAAAGTTAGAATTTATTACTTTAACAAATGGTTTTTACAGTAATAAAATAAAATATGCTATAAATCATTGCAAATATTTAACTATTAATTGCAAAAATTTTTTAGCATCTTACTAAATTAATTTCCATAAGATTTCTTCCATCAATTGGAGTACATACAAATAATGTTTGCTGCTGCATAAGTCCAACAAAACACCAATATGTATCAGATTCATCATGAATGGTACTCAAAAGGGGTGCTAATAAATCTGACATACCCTGTATATAACTGATTTCAGGATATGCAAATGCATAATTTAATAAAATATTCCTGAAAAAAAAATGTTCAATAATTATAAATTTTAAATGATAAAGTTTTTTTGTATGAATGAATGCAAAATTATAAAGATTATATTTATAATTGTAATCAATCCTTACTTCATTGTATCAATATTTGGATTATTATCACCGGCAAAATATGGTTTACAACGATCTGTACGAATAACATCTTTAATTATAGCATTTTCTATATTAGTCCATGATGTTTTCAGTGCATTTTTCATTCTGGAAAAACTTTAATGAGTTAATCATCAGCAAATAATTATCATATAAAAATTATAAGTTTAAGAAATGTTATCTTTTCATTCGTTTTACATTTTACAAATTAAGTTTTTTAAAATCATATTTGTAAATTTTTCCACTCATAACCTTAGATTTTTTACTCTAAAACACATTTATATTTAAAAATTTAAAACAAAAATATTTCGAATGCGATTTTTGATCTTTTACAAGAATTTATCCTGCATCATATATCAAAATTTTTTCCTTTTAAACTTACTTAAAAAAAAATATTTCTAAACTTCTAAAAGTTGAAATTTTTACCTTTGCTTTTTTATCTTTTGATATTCAATGAAGATATCATTTCGTATAATTTCACGTTGTTCGACCGTTGAAGCCCACGGATATACACGTAATAAAAATGGCCAAATTTCTCTACGAAGTGTAGGATCTATGGTGGCAAAATAAATGGCCTAAAAATCATACTCAGCTTATAATCTCCAATTTTTTAGAAATAAAGAATATTAAAAAAAGAAAAAATAAAAAGGCAAAAAAAAAAAAAACCTATTAAAACCTTTCTCATGGTGAAACTATCATCGATGCTACCATCTTGATTTTTGTATGATTTCCAGAAATCCCAGCTAACTCGTTCATATAAATCTTCTTCTGGATCAAGTTCCATTTTACTTACTTTTGGTTGACATACCAAAAACTGACGATCCGGAATCGGTGATGGTGAACCCTAAGTAATAATACATTTGAATCCATCTTTTTTGCTTGAACAGAATTTTCTTCAATGAAATACACATTGCGCTTTTTAACTGTTTCAAAGTTAGAAAATTATTGATGAAAAAAACTAAATTATGCAATTATTTTTTTCAGTACTTTTTCTTATTTTCAACCAATTTTTAAAAATATTTGAAACTTTTATCACAAACTTTTTTTTTTAGTATTTTTTTTTTCTTACAACTTAGTGTAAAATCAAGAAATTTACATCTTTAACAGCTTTTGTTTTAATAACACTCCATTGTTCTAATAATTGCGCTAATTTATCCAATCCGCCATGATGGAAATGTAAAATTTTGTAATGTGAATCCCATGTAGCAATAACAAATTGTCCAGAAGTTAAATCATCTGCTGTGAAAAACAATCGCATTGATCTCATTTTACCTAAAAATTTTGTATCGTATTTATTATTTCTCTAGTTTATATTAAAGTTGTTTTACCTAACAAAATAGTAATTGCATTTAATAGTTTATTTCAAATTCATTTTACCTAAAAAAAAAAAAAAAAAAAAAGAAAATGCATTTATTGGTTTGTCTTGAATTCGTTTAATCTAAAAATTTTGACTGCATATAGCTAGTTAATTCTAATGATATTCAAATATTATTTTATTCAATTATTATACCTAAATTAACAGAGAAAAGTGAAGCAGACAGTGTCTTCTGATGAAAAATTACACTTCTACCATTAACCGATACAGTTCCATTATCATCAAATTGGCTATCATTTTTCAACATCAAATTATGCGTTATTGCAAATTGTTCCGGTGTTATTTTGCATAAATGTTCACATTTATTACGATATTGCTGTAGCATATTTAAATGCAATGCTGCAAAATGTTGAACAGATATTATTGAGAAAATAAACTTTGAGAAAAATGGATTAAAGAAAAAGTAAAGTATGATAAATTGAACATTTTTCAATTAGCATGTTACTACTTTTTGGACTTGATTCCTTTCGACATTGATTTACATTTTGAAATTCAAAATCATCGGATGATGAGCTGCCGAGAATGAATTCTTCATCCTAAATTTACATAAACTTTTAATATGTAGGAAATTTTTGAAAAAACACTAATACTAATACTATATATATATATAAATTAAATTGTGAAAAATTTTCTACTTTTTACTTTCATAATTTACATTTTGAAATTTTCAAAAAAGAAAAAAGATTGTTATCTTCAAAATTTTCTCAAATATGAAAAAATAGGTGTAATTTTCAGTAATCTTAGCAACTATCATTAGTAGCATACCCTATCGGAAAATTCATCAGCACCAGATGTTGTTGCTGAACTGCTGTCTGTGTCCTAGAAAATTTCTAATTTGAATTTTGATCGAAAATTGTGATCTAATTAAAATTTAATCAACAAATTATTCATAAAATAGCAAATAATAGAGCAGTTCAAGTTCTTTCCTGATAAGAAAAATGATGTAGAACTAAATTAGAGAACTAAACAACAATATCATTGGAGATTGGATAAATTATTACTAATAAAGAAAAAAAAAGAAAAGGAATTTGTAATTTAGAAATCTCGAGAGTAAATTGCTATTGTCTTAAATACTAATATGTGTATACTTTATTTGCTCACCTTTTCATCAATTGAAGAAGAATCAACTGGTGTATTGGGTATCACATTGATTGTTGGAACATTTAAATTTTCCGAATTTTCCTTAATTCATGAAACGTTTCAGAAAAAGAAAAAAATATATATTAAATGAAAAAAAAAGAACAATTTTAGAAATAGTTTGAGAATAAAAAAAGATAAATGATGAGTTATTTTTAGCAATAAATTTTATTAATAAGAAGAAAATTGATTATGTACAAAATTATTCGATAGAATTTATATTATACTTTTCATGTAATTAAATGGAAGCAAATTGAGAAATTTCTTTTTTATACGATAGATCAATCATTAAGCAAAAGTTGGGAAGTTAATAAAATGAAATCAAAAAAAAAAAATTGGTAAATAGAATTAAATGATAAAAATAAATTTATTACAGAATATGATCAACAGTTTATCGATTTTGAAAGCATTCAATATATGACCTTTTTTTTTTTTTGACAAAAAATTAGATATGAAAATTGATTCAGAAACCACTAAATTGCTAATTCGCCTTTTTTTTTTGTCCTAAGTCTAAGAAAATAAAAAATTAGTACGAAAATGGAGAAAATAAATTATTGATGAATGGATGAAAGTATATCCAAATTTCTTTCCCTTATAATTATGGAAAAGGCTAATGAAGAATGCATAAAATAATGAAACTTCAGTTGAAAACGATGACATCATTGTGCCAATATATTTCGAGTGTTTTTGAAAAGTTAAAATTTACAAATTTAGAAAATACCGATGACATGAATAAATCTGGCCTTCGTTTCATAGAAGTTACTGTTATCATATCACCATTCATTTCAACGTTAATATCATTTTCACTTGTTGGACTCTAAAACAAAATAGATCATAAAATTGCTTCTCTTAAAAATTGTTTCAGTCAATTTAGTTTCTTTTTTAAAACGAAAAAAAAAAATGAAACTGAGCATGAAAACCATTGACAGGTAGCAAATAAAGGAAATTTAAAATTTTTAATGATTAAATATTTCAAAAATTACTTATTATGCTTTTCAGTTTTTAATGAGAAAAACAAAAAATAATTGATGATAAGGAAAACAAAAAAAAAAGTATCAAAAATTTACACGCTCATCATTTGTATCAGTCTCCGTTTTATCATCATTATCATCTTCATCGTCATTATCATCGTTGTTATTATCAATATCATCATCATCATCATCATCATCATCATCATCTTCATCTTTACCATTACTAACACTCTGTACATACATTCGTAGCTCAAAATTTTCTCCATTTAAAATATAAAAAGTAACACTTCGAAAAATATTATAATTTAGATATACTTTAAACAATTCATTATTAAATTAATAAAATTATCTTAACTATTAAATTTATTACAAATTTTTGAGAAATACAAAAGTTTTTTAGAAATTTGTACAACTTTTTTCAAATGTTACTTAATAAAATTGAAATAATATCTGAGCAATACTTTTTGACAAACCTGTTTATTGATATCTCGAAATTTTGTTTGCTTATCAACAACAGTTTGGTTTTTTTGTGATACGCTTCGAATACTATAATTATGCATAGCTAATATTAATTTTTCAGTTATGAAAGGAAGAAATTTTTAAAATCAATCATAAATGTTACCTTCTCGGATTTTTTTCAAGAGTTGCATTAGGTAACCATTGTAAGATAAGTGTTACTCCTAGTATATCATCACTTTGACATTGTAAAGTTAGGTAACCAGGAATGTGCTCTATGGAATCATCGGTATCCTACAATTTGTCAACAGTTATTAGCACTGTATTGAAAATATTGTAAATATAAATATATGAAATTTATCATAAATAAATACCTTATGATCACTTTTACTAACATCATGAATGCAAACATTATTTTTTGAATAAACAATATCACCATCTTGACCAATAAATGTATTATTTAGACCTAAAAATTGTTGAATAAATTTTTATCATAAAAATTTCTTTATTTGTAATAAATTTATTAATTTCATTAAATTTTAAAAATTTTTGAGTTTTTAATAAAATGACGTATAGTTTTGATAAAAATATTAAATGGCGTCAATTTACCCAGCTTAAATTTAATATCCGATAATATTTTTTTAAGAAGATAATTAATACTTACATATTTTAGGAATATTACAACACTAATTAGGGATAATTATTCGCTCTACACAGAATTAAATCATATGTTTGACATGCAAAATTATATTACACAAATGTTATTCATGTTTTTAATTAATTTTAAGTTTTTGCATTGTAATTCAATAATAGATTAGTAGAATAATATTATAATTTCAAAATCACAATAATTGATAAATTTTAATTTTTCATACATTTTCCTGAAAAATTACATCCTATTTTTTGGCAGAATTTTAATTAGATAGAAATGATGAAAGAAACCTCGGAAGCTATTCAATGCTCCATGTGCTTTTCTAAGAAATTCACTTAAAGTTGGCATAATTCTAAATCATATTTTCAAGCAAATCATTGAGAAATATGTAACATATCTGTAAATGTAGCACAAAGATCAATAAAACAAAAACAACAATTTGATATGGAAAAAATTCTTTAACATTCAATTCATATCATACAATTTTTAAGCATTTAAAATAAAACAACACAAATT